TGACCGCTTGGGAATAGCGACCATAATATAATAACATTTAACATTCCTATGGTGGGAAGAACACCTCAGCAGTCCAACACTCTGGCATTTAATTTCAAAATGGGGAATTACACAAAAATGAGGAGGTTAGTTAAACAGAAATTAAAAGGTACAGTGACTAGAGTAAAATCCCTGCAAGCTGCATGGAAACTTTTCAAAGACACCATAATAGAGCCCCAACTTAAATGTATACCCCAAATTAAAAAACATAGTAAGAGACCTAAAAAAGAGCCACCGTGGCTTAACAATCATGTCAAAGAAGCAGTGAGAGATAAAAGGCATCTTTTAAAAAGTGGAAGTCCAATCCTAGTGAGGTTAATAGAAAGGAACATAAACACTGCCAAATTAAGTGTAAAAATGTAATAAGAAAAGCCAAAAAAGATTTTGAGGAACAGCTAGCCAAAAACTCAAAAAGTAATAGCAAAATGTTTTTAAGTACATTAGAAACAGGACACCTGCTAAAAACCCAGTGGGGCTCCTGGGTGATCGAGATACAAAAGGAGCAATCAAGAATGATAAAGCCATTGCACAGAGACTACATGAGTTCTTTGCTTCAGTCTTCATGGCTGAGGATGGAAGGGAGATTAATTGTCCCAGATTGAGGTGTCATTAGAGGAGGTTTTGGAACAAATTGATAAACTTAACAGTAACAAGTCACCAGGACCAGATGGCATTCACCTGAGAGTTCTGAAAGAACTCAAATGTGAAATTGCGGAACTATTAACTGTGGTTTGTAACCTATCCTTTAAATCAGCTTCTGTACCCAAGGACTCAAAGACATCTAAAATAACACCAATATTTAAAAAGGGCTCTAGAGGCAACCCTTGCAATTACAGACCAGTAAGTCTAACGTCAGTACCAAGCAAATTAGTTGAAGCAATAGTAAAGAATAAAATTGTCAGGCACGTAGAAGAACATAATTTGTTGGGCAAAAGTCATTATGGTTTCTGTAAAGGGAAATCATGTCTTACTAATCTATTAGAGTTCTTTGAAGGGGTTAACAAACATGTGGTCAAGGGGAAATCCAGTACAGGCAGTCCCCGGGTTACGTACAAGATAGGGACTGTAGGTTTGTTCTTAAGTTGAATCTGTATGTAAGTCGGAACTGGCATCCAGATTCAGCCTGTTGAAACTGATCAGAGGCTGATTCCAGGAAGCCGGGGGCAGAGCAACTCTGCCTCGGGCTTCCTGTAGTCAGCCGCTGGTCAGTTTCAGCAGCGGCTGAATCTGGATGCCAGTTCCGACTTACATACAGATTCAACTTAAGAACAAACCTACAGTCCCTATCTTG